GTGCCAGAGAGAAATCACTTTCTTTATTGCAATTGGAATAAATAAAACTTCTAAAAAGGCACAGGTGCGAGTATGAGGACGGAAGAAAAGGGCACGGGACAACACACACAAAGGGAGTCTTCAAATTCAATATATTAATACAGTGGTGCTCCCTGTTGAAAACAGCACATCAACCTACACTGCACACATAATTATGGCGTGCTACTCCATTCGCTATACTCCCCGACTCCCCTTACACCGATCGCCGTTCACACACCCACCCAATTCATTCTTTCATCCACATACACAAGCACAGGAGTAAGTTAAAATACTTCCCTCTCCCCCGGCTTGCAGGACCCAGCCGTGGGGTGAAGAGCTTTCACAGCAAACAGTCAGTCAGGAGAGCAAACGATAAGGAGGTGGAGTTGAAGTTCACAGTTCTTTCACAACAAGTCCATTCACATTCGGAAACAGGGAAATCACTCAAGTCCAATAGTGAAGAATCATACGCATCATCCTTAAGTTATAAGTGACAGTCGGGCAGAGTGCCAAACAAACAATGTCCTGAGGCAATGGTGACTCTAAAAATTAACACCCCCCCACCCCAGCTTTGGTGAACAGAAGAGACTTCTTTCAAAAGCTTTAAAAATCTTACTGATCTAAACCGTTTGAGTTGGACACATTAAAGTTGAATTCATTTATTCTTTCCTTTTTTTCTTTTGTTTAATGTCATGTTATATGTTGTATCATCTTCCTAAGTTTGTCTTGGGACCTGGAATTTTTTTTCTCAGTGTTGTGAAGCAGTATTTTGTCATCAATGTTGCTTTGGCATAAAAACACCTGTTGAATATCAGAACAATGACTGAGAATAATATAACTAAGATTATTCAATAAACTTTTGCTATTAATTTCTTCCTGTTTCCCATTTTTTTCCACCTGTTCATGCCAGTGTTTACTGCTTTGAAAAGCAGACTTAAATCTGATGTTTCCTGACAGAGAAAGATAGAGATCGATTTAGAAATGACTTTGGTCGAACACAAGCAATCAGCATGCAGAACTCATTGTATTCTTTCCATTGTAATGCTTAAAAACACAACCACACAATGCTGCAGAAACAAAACCATATTGCAAATACAAGGAGAGAAAAAAATGAATCTCAGCATTACAGAAATGATCAAAATTGTTTTACAGAAGGGAAAAACTCAAGCAACTCAAGGCACAAAAAATGATTTAATACACCGTTTTTATCAAATAAACCTTTTATTCACTTTCTCATTTGTCCCTTTGTGACAGTAGAAGTCCAAATCATTTAAGGATACTGCAACATAATACATCATATGCTTTAGCATTGGAGAACTCCTGCAAAACAAACATGAATGTAAAATGGTTTTAAAATTTAAAAAGTAATGTCAGAGAAACACCATCATGTTATAAAAAATTGTTGTGCAACAATTTAATAATAATTTCATATTAATTCTTACTCTTTGTAGGCTAACAGTATGTTGTCAATTAATAATCACAAAGCAAAAAAATGCTCTTTTGCAAAAATCTTGTACCATCATGTAGTTTTTTTTTTTTCTCACAAAACAAGAATGAACAATAGCATCTATAATTTAGATTACAATCTGCAATGGATTGGACAAATATGTTCAAATACTCCATTTCATGTCAAAGCACTTTTATTAATAAATTAGCTTCTTCACAAAAGCTGTGATTTTCTGTGGCTGTTTGGTTATTGTAAAACTCCCACAGATGCAGAAGTAAACATCTAGCTCATGTTTACATTTGTCACTGGCCATAATCCTAACCTTGAAATCAGGATCAGACATAAAATAATGTCTTCAGAATCATTTGTTCATGTGAAAATGGGCTGGGAATTGAACAAATAGTTGTAATCTGGCTCAGATGACGGCAGGAATCATGTTTTTGTGTCAGTTTTTCAGCTGATTAAGGGAGAATACTTCTCCCTTCACCTTACAAATGGTTGTTGAGAGCAAATGCATATTTTGTGAACAAGTGTGACATGTTTGAGCAAAACGGCCACTATTTTTGTAATCAGCAGCCTGAAATTAGTAAAAGAATAAGTACTGGGTTTCATTTAACAAATATGAAGCAGGGCAGTGTTATCAGTTGGCAATTACTTTTTAGAAGCTCTGTTCAATGTCAAAGCAAATGCATTTTGTGACATTCACAAAAGTATCATCAGCGCACAGAAGAAGCAGTTCTTTTCGGAGAGAAGCAGAACCTCAGATGCTCAACCAGAAATCCAACAGTGGTGATTCCCACCAGACCAGACAGAACCAGACGAACCAGAGCCTCAGTGACGCCACAATGATCCAGACAATCTGAAAGAGAAGAGAGATGTTCATAAACACTGTCTCGGTCTCATTTAAAGGGGTCATATGGTGCGATTTCAAGTTTTCCTTTCTCTTTGGAGTGTTACAAGCTCTTGGTGAAAATAATGATCTTTAAAATAGCATCATATGACCCCTTTAATGGTTTTGTCTGTAGAGGCGTAAGCTGCGCGGAGGTTACTGTGGCAGGAAGCTTTTTGTGGTGGTACTTTTTTTTTATACCTTTGTTGGTTGGATGGGTGCAGCTGGTGTTGCTTGCTTGTGATGTACCTGCTAGACAGCTCAAAGGAAAAGCAACTTATGGCCTCAAATCTGTAAGTTTATCTGTCTTATCTGTCTGTTTATCAGATCATCTATCCATCCAACAGCAAAGTACTACAGGCCTCCAGATGGTTTAGCATCCTGCTCTGAAACATAATAATCACTATTTATGAGCTCAGTGAATGAGGAAACACTCACCTGTAGATTGCTGCACAGTAACTGATGAGACCGCTGCTATGGACAAGAGGAAACATATTCATATTTAATAGGCCAATACTGCCAGACCACTAACACTTTTTATATCATATTAGTATTAATTAGAGCTGAAACTTACCATATACATCAACGTTGAACTTTCGTTTTGAGATCTGTGTGTTAATAACAATGAATGCTTCAAACGGTCCTGATTCATTGGTCCTGATGTTTGAGATGGTCAGTACTCCAGTCTTCTGGTCTAGCTGGACTCTGCTACTGAATCTTATATCATAATGGGTGAAAATCCTCCCTTGATATATCTGTGCGACACGAGTGCTTAGATTGTCACGCTCATAAGACCACAGTATTTGAACATCTTCCTTCAGTTCAGGAACTCCTGGATGTAGACGCAGGACATCTCCCTCCATCACTCGAACGCTTTCAGGTGCATCAGCCTGTCCACACACTGAGAACAGGGATGATTTGGGTTCAAAAATGCAACAAACAACAATTGAAAAGACCTGTTCCAACTACCATAAATAACTCTGAAGTCTTATAAGAAATAAATAGGTTACAATTTGTTCATGTTCTTAAATGTTAACTTTATGTACAGTCATCTTTAGATGTACAGTAATCAAGTTAGAATTTAGAAATTTTAATTCATTTTGTTTCCTTTTTTAAAAAAATCTAGATGCATTTTAGCAGCACATGCACAAACCACTGTGGAGATACCTGATGCAGGATGTGGTTATCTATCTATCTGTCTATCTATCTATCTATCTATCTATCTGTCTGTCTGTCTGTCTGTCTGTCTATCTATCTAGATGGAAGACCATTATGTATGATCATCAAAATGTCTAAAAAGTTAATTAGGTGCATTTTCACACACACACACACACACACACACACACGCACACACACACACACACAACAAATAAATAAATAAACAGACATTTGAAACATTCTTTACTGTCTTAAATAACATTGTTCAATATCACGTTTTATGTTTGTGTTTAGCCTGCAGCAGTTGAGTTTACAAGGTTTTGGAAACAATTTCATGTTAGACTAATTTACTGCGATGTTTAAAAATCCTTCCTTGTGTTTGTGCATCTCATGACAGTTGAGAGTGTCTCAACAAGCTACACAGTGAACATGAAAAGAATAGAAATAGAAAAGAACAAACCACACAACCACCAAAAGAATAGAAAAATACTAGATCTGAAAGACCTACCTTCCACAATGGTGAAAAATATGATGAAAACCCACATGCTGATAGACATTTAGGACAGATATCAGATATGAATAAAAGTGATGTTGTTTATCTTGATGATGCACCTGGAGCTCGAGCTCATCTGATCATCATTCGCTGAAGATCTTCTGTTCTGAATTTCATCAGGAAGTGATCACTGACAATAAAATCTGTAAAATCAGCTGTTATACACTAGATGGCACCAAACCACAGCTTTTCACTTTTGATCTCACTTCCAAATCATGACTTTTCATATATCATCTTTAGTTTTTTCATATGTTGATGTGAAAAATATGGATTTTACTTTACATTTTTACTAAACATCCCTTTTTATTATGGCAAGGCTATACTTCATGGCAAATGTTAAAAGCATGCAGTGTGAAAGCAGCAGAACAAACCTGTGATATTGCTTTATAAAGAGATTTTAATAAAGGTATTTCAAGAACCAGTAGAGGATTGAGGATATTTGACTGGAACTTGATCTACATTGCATCTATTTTCTGTTTCTATTTTACTTCTATATGTATTCATTCATGTTTGGTGTCACTTATCATTTATTAATGTATTCAGCTAATCACCGTTGTTAGAGAACTGTAATTTTTGCTACAATTTCCCCGTCAATAAAAAAAATAAAAGTACCTACACTTACCGTTTTGACCAGCAGGTGCCGCCATCGAATCATTTTGTGAGCAATTTGCTCAGTTGATTCAGACAGAGATTGTCCCGTCACTGATGTAGGAGCATCACTGAGATGGAAACCCGTAAGACATGGACCTAAAAAAAAACGGTTTAAACGGATCGTGGGTTTGTTTGACGCATGAACTTTCTCAGCCATACAGTCTTTGGCCACAACACAAATGAATATATAAAGTGATTGGCTGAAATTTTGGACCCTCCCCTCGTAGTCCCTATATTAGAGTGTGGCGTGTCATCTGAATAAAATATGATTAAACTGACAGACGTGAGAGTTATGTTTTTTTTCGCTGTAATGATAGTCGTCAACGCAGGTGGATTCAGTTCTGAATTCAGAGTGGAAGTGAAAAGGGGAGAGAAAGTCACCTTACTCGACGAGAAATCTGGATTGGAGTATGTCAACAGAGTGAAATTATACGAAAATCAGACAAGGGAGGAGATCATCATCTACTGTTCCTCCGAAGAGAAGGTGACTGGCTGCAAAGCAAAGAACTCTTCTACATTTTTACTCCAGATTGAGAACACCAGCGTCTCTTTAACTCCTCTTGATGCCAGTGAAGCGGGATGTTATGTTGTCGAAATTATGTGGTCAAGAAACTCGTTGTAGTCAACGGTTAGTGTGTTATTAATCTGTCTAAAGTGCTGTTCTGTTGACAAAACAAGTGCACCCCGATGTTTTGTTTTATATTATAGACCTATTAACTTTTTTTTATTATATAATTTTTGTGAAATGCCCATCCAATATCTACTTTATATTTCCTAGTTATTGGGCAAGAAACTACACTTTATTTGGGATGTATTATTTACTTTTTCACTGCACTCTTTTAACACTCTTTTAACTGCCTAACATCTACTCTGAACACCAGCATCTTGCCAGAAGTCTCTAGCAGCTAGCTAGCAAACTTTCTAGAACCTTAGGCTGATGATACACGTAACACGGGGCAACTTTTTGAGCAGTTTTGCCGGGCAACTTTTTTTGAGCAATGTTGCTTGGGCACTTTCCCATTGACAATGGGTAACAAATTTCCATCTGGATTCTCACCTGGTTGCCCGTTGACGGAAACATTAGCAAAGTTACCAGGCAACATTGCTCAGAAAGTTGCCCCGTGTATCATCAGCCTTAGCAATTAAATAGCAATGCCTTAGCAACTGTGACCTGTCTACATTTTATGATATAAAGTTGGTCTTGAACTTAATTTTTCTTGTTGTTTTTGTTCTATACAGAGCAACTGCTCAGTACCAGTAGCCCAGAACCTCCATCCATTCATCCATTTGTCATATCTGCAATATTCCCTGTAGGGTCACTGGACACTGCTAAAGCCTGGACAATCGGCCTAGAACAAATTTGCTTAATCGCAGCGGGCATCGCAGGATTGACTGCAGTGGTCATTTTGGCCGTCATTGGTGTCATCAACCGCATATGTCAAAAGGCAAGTATTAATACAGAAAAATGCAGCAGCACTTCTGTTTTTGTGACACTTATTAACAGCAGTGTTCAACTGAGGACTATGTATTTTACAGTGGAGTTTTTAGATACTTTGCTCACAAAGGGCTTCCATTAATATCATGACTGTGTCATTCATTACGTTCATTGATCCGTTATAATATTATATTATACCAGCGGTTCCCAATTCCAGTCTCTTAGTTAACGCACCTGATTCAGATAACCAGCTCATTTGAAGTGAGGACTGGAATTGAGAACCACTGTATTATGTAATCATTCATTATACAATTGATTATACAACATTTATTGATTTATATAATTTTTTGGTATTAAAAATGTTCATGTGCAGTCGCAGTAACAGATTGTTGAGTGTGATTGAGTGTGATTTAATTCTCAATGTTCTTGTGTCTCCCTCCAAAAGACCCAGAGTAATCCTGATGCTGATGCTGATGCTGGTGATGGAGATCCAGATGAGACAACTTCTGTCATCTCAACCACCAGTGGAGGTCAGTTCACTATAGCTGACCCTGGGCTTTGTATCATGAATAAATATAGTTTGTTTTCTCTTAGCAACCTGTGCTAACATTGACTTATCAAATTCAAACAGATTCTACAGGTTTCGATTTTGTACAGGTTTTTCAAATATTTTAAACCAAAACCATTTCACTATTTGAGTGTTTTTAAAAAACAATATCAAAACAATATCAACATTTTTGTCAAAAACTTGACATTTGTCTTTTGATATTTTTTCTTCATTAGAATTTGATGATTACACCAACCTGACATTTTATTTTATTCTTTATTTTAAAAGCGTACAAAAAAAGTAATTTAATTTACATTAAAAAATAACATCATCTTCACAGTGATTCAGTGAACTTTGTATGAACTTCATTTTGCATGTATTTTTAATAGAGTTGTTTAAATTCAGTTGATTAAATAACCAATATCTGTTGAGAGACATTACATAGGTATAACAGAATTGTCATAGACAATGAAGTCATTGAAATGTTAAAAATGGCTATTGAAGTGAATATAGTTTTTTTTTTTTTTTTTTTTCATATTGTTGAATTTAATAGCCCTGTACCACAAATTTGGGTCACTTTACTTACATAAGCACTAATAATGCAAACTCTCCTTTTCCTACAATCAACAGGTAAAGATGACACAAATGATTCCTACGAGATGGTGGACAATTCGAGCTTTTGCTCGGTTGATATGGAGAAGAAGAAACTTGGAGACCTGGACATCTTCCGATTAGATAATTTAAAAAATAATAATAATAGTAATGATTCTAATAATAATAGTCAAAAGAACTATAGTAATAATTAATTAATTTTTAGAATCTTAAAAAAAAATTATTTGCTCTTGCATTGCTTGCTATTGTTTAATCTTATGATTAAATGATTTCTTTGTTAACTGGCTTAATTCAGCTCTTTTTGGCTTCTTTTAGTTCATACAGTTTTTGGGAACAGACAAAATCCTGATTTTAGGATATCAGATAAAACACTGCTGATTGGTATTAGACAACAGACAAAATGAATGTTTTCTGACACGATGTTCATTTTGTTGGAAATCCGATCTAACATCTGAATATTCATTCATATATGTGCATGTCCCTGCAAAGGTATTTCTGGCAGGGTGGAAAATATTCCAAAGATATTACTTATAAATGGTCTGTTTTTCTTCAACTTTATTCAATAATATATAGATATTATGATAACATATTCATTATCCACCAAGCTGACTGTTTACCTATATCAACCTCTGAATGTTTATTATTATTATTGTTATTTTTTTATTCTGTTATTTCTTTTCTTTTCAAAGCAGAGACAGAAAATGGCAGAATAGTGCTGTGACGAAGTGATGAATAGACAACTTTAGGCAGAGTTTTCATTTTTGGGAGGACACAAACAAATGCACACAGTTTTATTAAGCACTGACATCAAATAATCTTTTTTCAATCAAACATTCCTTTTGCATCTCATTAACAATAAGACATTAGACGCTTTTGCACCGTCGGGCCGAACAGTTCCAGTTATGTTTCCACTTGAGCTCGGTTTGGCACAGCACAATTATCAGCACAGTCATGGCTAACCATGCTGAATCGTGCTGGCAGAATGTGTCTAGTGACAGCACCACTCAAGATTCGTCACTTGTCTGTTCTCTGGCTACTTCTTCTCTGTAGCTGGCCACAGCGAGCTATTTGAGTGAAATAAACAGAAATATCTGATCATCCTTCATAATGCAGTCGCCTACTTACGTCTCATACAGTATGTAAACACTTGCATTACCAAGGCAGTGGTTCTGTTATCAGCCCTACAGTGGAAAACGAAACTATACTGTATTTGTGCCGATTGGCCTGGTTCGACATGGAATGGAACGGATAAGCAAAAAGAAAAAAAGTACCAGGTACCAGGTACTGTACCCAGTGGAAAACCCCCCAAAAGTGTACCGTGCCGTACCATAAAGTGGAAAAGCACAAAAAGAGAACAGTTCGGCCCAATGGTGGAAAAGATTTAGATTTTTATTCTTTTAAGGGTTCCATTTATACTTGTAGTCTCATGACCAAAAGTTCTTGTAGCATTCCATCACCATCACGTTTTTGGCCATTGTGGTGTCTCATGGTAATATCATCATCACACAGAAGCAGCTCTTCTCTGAGATGAGCAGAACCTCAGATGCTCAACCAGAAATACAACAGTGGTGATTCCCAGCAGACCAGACAGAACCAGACGAACCAGAGCCTCAGTGACACCACAGTGATCCAGACAATCTGAAAGAGAAGAGAAACGTATAGATATTAAGTTAATTGTAAACATTTCTTGTCATTCGGTGGCTTTGGTCACTGTGGCATGAAGAGAGTTCTTTAGTAAATGTAGTTTGAGTTCTCATACCTTCACTTCGTGGGCAGATCTCTTTCATATGAAGATGGACAGTCTTATTGCTCACTGGATTCACAGCCGTGCAGCTGTAGATCTCTGGATCATTATAATGAAGCTCTAATGCTAAACTGAGGTTGATGTTGAGATCAGGATTGCTGGTCTGGTTCAACATTTCACCTCCTTTATACCACGAGATGAACACGCCTCGATCATTTTTCACAGAACACAACACAGAGCAGAACTCCTCTGTTTCCTGTGATGTACCTGAAAGAAATGAATTCTACTTCTATCATAATTTACAAAAAAGAGTCCCAAAGCATCATTATAATGAAGCTCTAATGCTAAACTGAGGTTGATGTTGAGATCAGGATTGCTGGTCTGGTTCAACATTTCACCTCCTTTATACCACGAGATAAACACGCCTCGACCATTTTTCACAGAACACAACACAGAGCAGAACTCCTCCATCTTCTGTGGCTGCACTGATGTACCTAGTAAACATGTGCTGTGTGAGGTTAATTCTGAACATTTTGTGAAAAACATTTCACTTTCTTATTTTTATGGTTTTAAGACCCTGGGGACCCCGTCGAATCGCTCTGATCACTCTGATTGGCTGTGCAGCTTTAGCGAATCAGTGCACGACAAGAGTGAAAATGATGAAAGCTAGCAAACCATAAAGTGAAGCGTGCACACAAGAGGCTGTTCTAACTTTACATATTTATTTTATCTGAGCATCCCAATACGCAAATATTTTCATTACGACATGGCCTTCTGGAATGAAGAAACTAAAGACCTGCTGATCAACGTGATTAATATTCAAACATGCTAGTTCGGGGATCCTCAAATCTGGCCCACGAGATCCACTTTCCTGCAGAGTTTAGCTCTAACCCTAATGTCTTCAGGATCATTAGAAAATCACAGGTATAGGTGAGTTTGATCGGGGTTGGGGCTAAACTTCGCAGGGCAAGATTTGAGAAACCCAGTGCTAGTTGACTGTTGGCTGTAGTCATCACAGTGTGTTAAAAAATTATAAACAAATAAATGTGATAATAAGAAAATAAATAAAAATAAATGACTTGTTATAACAAAATTAATTTTTAAATAAATTTTGCCCTTAATTTGTATTACCTTTTCACTTTATTTTTTATTCTTTCATTTATTTTTATATTTTTGCATTCATTTATTTGTATATATTTATTTATTCCCATACAGTATACATGTATTTTCTTATTTAAATATTGCCACATTTATTTATTTATTTATTTAATTATTTACATTTCTGTCTCATGTTTGAAAATTAGGTGGGCTGGTCCTGCTTACCATTGGTTTATCTAGATTGAAGTGTGTGCTCGATTACTCTTGACTTACTCTAGCCATATCTTGTGTAAACTATATCTGATGCTTCACAAATAGCTAGAGGTGAACATTTTTGCTTATAGCTAGAGCAGGTTATTGGTGTTTTAGGAGAGCTTAATGCCAGTATTATGGAACGTGTTAAACTATTTTACTTCACTTTCCAGCAGATTTATTCAAAGACTTTAGGTTTCTCCGATACAAAGCACCAAAGAAAACACATTTGATTAGATCCTTAATAAATGTTGCTACAAATATTACATGGTGTTGCTTTCTGAGTATTTGTTGTAATGTTTTTGACTGCTTTGTGGCATTTTCAAGGAAAGTCGGCGGCCATATTTGCAACACTCGTGGGCAGCTATTTTGGGCATCCAAAACCACTTGAATTGGAAAATTCTGAAACCAGCTTGCCACACTCATTTTAAATAACATTTAAACATAACATAGCAACAAAGCAAAATCTGACATGAACTGTCCTATAAATGTTTCTTATTTTCAAAAAGTGTTAAAAAAGCTTAGCTGAACCAATGTGCCTATGCAGTCATAAGCACACATTTCAGAACACTGACTATTTCCAAAGTAATATGAGCTTCTAACAGCAGCTGGAAGGAAGTGATGACCAATTAGTGACTGGCTTCTTGGTTTATCTCAAGGGTTTGTTCACAGTTTGCATCTGACAAATCAGCTAGAAAGAGCTCACTTGCAAAAAAGTTAACATGATCCTCAGTTGATCCATAACACCAGACTTGAGGAAGCACCACATGCAACTGTGGTCTCTACAAAATAATTTGACAAATTGTAAAACACTGCAAGCTGATCTGCAACATCCTGAATTTGGACAGTGTATTGATACGTGCCACCAAATTTTTTTTGGGAAAAAGTCTGATCTCTATCACTTAGTAAGATGGTCTTATTATTGGGAGATATCAGGGTAAGCATATTTTCCATTGGAGAAAGCATAACAATCAACTTGGATCATGTATGCTTTGACGACCAATCACATCACGAGCTTGACGTCATTGTATCAGAGTTATGCGACAGTCAATAGCTGTTTGCGGATACCATAGACATGAATTAGAATGACCATAAACTGAATCTGTTGCAAAATTGTCTGTGACTTCTCTTATAAAACACAGTTTTTTTTCAGTGTAAACTCTACAAATAGATCAATCCAAAATGAACGTTTAATGCTAAACGTGTTGAAGATGAGCTAACATACTGTTGATTCATTAAATGATAAGCTGTTTTCGCACAAACTCTGTTTAATTCAGCATAGTGAAACTTCTCCACCATTAACATCCACTCATGAAACGGTCCCTGGTCTTAGTTTCATGAGTGGATATTAACATCCACTCATGAAACAGTTCACCTATGCTGCATGTATTTGGATTGTGGGAAACCCACAGGAAACCCACAAAGAAACAGAACGGCCTCTTGGCTCTGGGACTCCAACTGTGGCTCTTTTTGTGAGGCAAGAGTGCTACCCTCTACCATGCTGCCTGTGTATTTGATTTATCAAGTCATTCATTCATTGGGCCTGCGTGATGTTCAAGCCAACTTTTTGACTCAGGTGCAGATTTTGCAAGGCGACAACATAGTTAATAGTTCTTTGATATCAGTTTTGCTGTGTCACTGCCTTTAAACACAAAAACAAGATTTTCCAGCTGTTCCATGCTAAATATGCTATGATTTAGCCATTGCAACATCAGTGAGACATTTAGATAATGGAATGTTATGATTCACGTGACAAACATGTTGTGCTGGAGGATTTGTTTGGGTGTGGTATTGTAACTTGCCCTTTTTACGTAGCACTGTACTTGATTGCCTGTCTTTGATTTGCTTTGTTGTTTTTATGTTGATAGTTTACTGTCAGCTTCTTTTCTTTGTAGATTATTTTCCACAAAAATAGAAAATATTCTTTTCTTTATCCATACTATAGGGTGTGGATGCCATTTCTTATATAAATAAGGTTTTCTTTTGTTTTTCAATAGTTGGGAAAGTAGGTTTTATTGTATCTAAATATGGAATTGAGCTGTGCCTTGTAATTTAATTGCTTTAATGTTTGTTTGTTGTTTTTGACTCTATACACTATATTCACTGTAAATTGGATAGTTTTGTACATAAGTATGCAAAAAGGTTGGGGGACTCACCTTCAGCTTGGTTTATACTAACTAGAGACATGATGGCAGGTACAGAAACAGGCCCTGAAAAAAAGAATAAGATAAACACGATGACAAACATCATTAATAAGAATATTCATCTTTAAGATGGAAATTTGCAGGGAAACCAAAGGTTGAAGCTGAAATTAATGTTGAGATAAACTAAGCTTTTTAAAGTTCTGAATCAACTGAAACGATTGCTTAAAAAAAAAAAAGAAAGAAAAAAAGAAATGTCACAAAAAGATTTTTCGAAGTGCTGTAAACACAACACGCTGCGCTGGCGGCACCTGCTGGTCAAAAAGTGTAACTGCAAAAAGAAAGCCCAAACATTTAGACTTTTTTTTTTGTTTTTTTTTACAAACCAACCGCAATTTTTTTTCATTAAAAAGTGTACTCTATTAAATGTGTCTACAAATAATTAGATATCATTAGATATGACGATTCTATACATTTTTTGTTTTATTAATGTGCAGTGATTGTTCTGTGTTTTATGCAGGGTTTGTCAAATTAGGTCAATCAGAAGAAAAAAGCTTCCATTTTGTATTATACAAGCATTAAAATTAATAAAAAAAAAAGAAACATTAATTATAATGTGGACAATAAATACTGCATATAAACACGTCAAACGCATAAATGTAGACATTTTTTACTCCCTGGTAAAAATCTTTTTGTGTCTTTAAGTGATCTTGTCAAACAGACATTATCTCATTAACTGACACCTCTTATCCTGAATATATTTGATAGGTGTTGTTATTTTTTCTACCAGCTGCAGCTAAATCTTACCATAAACATCCACTCTGAACCTTTTCTCTGAGACAGATCCACTGTGGAGAGAAACTTGATAAAGTCCAGAATCGCTGCTGCTGATGTTCCAGATGGTCAGAGCTCCAGTCTTTGGGTTCATTTTCACTCTGCCGGTTAGTGTTTCTTCATAAAAGGGTTCATAACCCTGATACATCTGTGCGATACGAACAGTTTGATCACCTCGTTTAAACAGCCATGTTACTTCACTGAGACTCTCAGTGTGTCTTGTTTGTAGAGTGAGAACATCTCCCTCCATCACAGTCTTTAACTCATCGCCATTCACAAGATCTGAAAGAATATTAAAACTGGTTGAGCAATGTGGTGTTTTGCTATAAAATATACAAACCTCAATTGCCCAGAAAAAAAGTGGAACGCCTACTTTCTATTACTTGAATGCATTCATTTACAGAATATCAGTACCTATTTTTTGTATGCATGTAATACCTGCTGACCTACAGGTATGACATTATTCACATGATTTACAGTGTGACAAATGGACAAGGAGTAATGTAAAAAAAATAATAGATACATTGTTTACATGCACATGAACATAACTGGACACTTGCTGAATTAAACACAAAATATAGTGAGGTCATCTGACAACAATGTTATTTTGTTTCTTACAAAAACACAGCTTTTGGCTTCACATGATGTTAACTGATGGACTGGAGTGGTGTAGATTATTGTGATGTTTTTATCAGCTGTTTGGACTCTCATTCTGACGGCACCCATTCACTTCAGAGGATCCATTACTGAGCAAGTGATGCAATGCTACATTTCTCCAAATCTGATGAAGAAACAAACTCATCTACAT